CAGATCTAAAAATTTTAATAAGTTCCAAAAATCAATAAGTACCAATCTCTCTAGTTCGGAGAAGTCTTGATAACACAATTCGGAGATCTGTAACCCAAGACAGCTCGGAATGGCTACTGTCTATTCCATTTAGAGTGCTTATACAGTGGAGAATTTCATTTATGCAGCCTAAGAGAACCAATGATGGCAACTAAAGCAACCGGTAATTAGTTTGGGTAGAGTTCTATCAAACGAATTTTAGGTAGCTATAAACCTTCACTTGTCTTCCAACCACTAGCAGACTGAAAACGAAGCCAACAACAAACCTCTTTTTCATCTTTCTTCAAATGTCGACATATAGTATTCAAAATGTCATTTGCGCTCACCAGCCTTACAGTGTTTGCGACCAATCTTGTTAGTATGCAAGAAGCGTTTTCTAACTCTGTGGTTTCCCAATGCCAAAAATATTAAAATACAATTAAGCTGTTCTATCTTACTACAAAAAACTTATATATTTTAACCTATAAGCTTGCAATAAAAGCTAAGATTCATATAATTCTTTAAAAATTATTTCAGAAATAACCTTCTTTTCATAAGGACTGAATGCAAAGAACTGAACAGTGGCGAAAAGGCGTTGATATCATGTTCGGAAGCACAAGAAGAGAAGAACGCAAGAATATCAATGGCCAAGTTCTGGTAACTTTCAGAGTTCGTTTCATCTAAAATTTTATTATAACTGCGACGAAATCACAATTTAAAGAATAACTGTAACTGGAAATAAATACCGCGCTCTGTGAGGAGCTTTATAAAAAAATCCAGAGGCATGGAGTTTATAATAGCCGAGACCTCGTCCTCTTTGAAGACAACCTTTTTAAACAAAAATGGTAGCTGAAAAAAACCCAAGAAGTCACTAAAAATATATTTATAACATGTTTTTTGATGTTACAAAATAAATAAAGCAAAAATTTTGCTATTAGTTTCTTTACCATCTATTGTTCTCTCTACAAAATCGAAACTAACATATCCAAAAACAGCAAAAAAATCTTGATCGCAATTACACGCTTTAAGCAGTTCAGATACTACCGAACCGTTGGCACTGTTCGATTCTTTGGCCTGCACCAACAACGTAGACAAATGTTTTGATGGCGGTAATACAGAGTCACCATACATCTGAAAAATTCAATTAGAAGGTTGTGAAAGCACGCTACATTGAACCAAAATAATAGTCAACAGCAGCCTATTTCGCAGACAACCCAAAACTATTTTTACCCGACAGGTGATAGTTTTCTAAATACAGGCGGCGTCATTTCTAATTCGGTGTGGAACTTCTTTCGCGGCGAAACCAAAATCACGGTGATGCGATGGGCTAGCAAATTACAACAATTCTTACTTAAGTTCAAAGCGAGCAGCGTTTACCTAGCTTATTTTTGAAAAACTGCGGACTTTTTGATATTATTAATTTCCCCAGGATTATGCTTACCTGGTTTTCGCTGTCTTACGCTGATCCTTGGAGCTGTCGTCGAGATATACGCTGAAATATGACGTTGGGGCTAATTTCCTCAATCACTACCTTTTTTTTACTTTTCCTTAAAAATTGAGTTTGTTTGGACCACACGATTTTTTTCCGTTTTTTGGTATAGATTCTTTCAAGTGTGTTTTTAACATAAGTGAGCTGTTTTGAGGAGTTTGCTGAACCTTTTTTTCTGAAAAATTGCTATTTGTAGACGTAGGGAGGTTGGTTTTTCGCGTAAGTAACAAACTTTTTTCGCCTGGTATTTCATTTAGGCTAACTTTTTGTAAAGAGTTTGTTACTGTTATGCTTGACGCAGTTGTGGCTACGTGCTGTTTGTTAAATTTTTTGCATTCTCCTATACTTTACAAAAAGAGGTACAAATTGAGGAAAGAAGAAATCAGTCCCTAAACAGCATTCCAGCAAATGACCCAGCTAGCGCAGTACATTCTAGAAAAGTCAGCAACTGCTATGTAACCACGAATGTAACGAGCAAGGTGATGCCAAAGCTTTCCAAGAACTCCCAAAACAAAGTTAGTTAAAAACGCCCCACTTTAGACTTAAGCCGGCGTTTTTCTCAGCAACTAGCAAGGAACATTACCGTATCCTCCTGCCATCCTCCAATATACACAAAGAAAGAGTAGCAGTGGGACCTCTTATATTCATATAATACCTTCACGTTTTGCCTAAATTTCAGTAGGAAAATAGGCTATTTGTGCACCGAGAATATGAAAAGTAATGATCGCTGAATCTCTTCCTCTACCCGTCTTTTTTTTTTAAACTTGCTTTTTTCACCATTATTCTTGAATGCTTTCCCATTCGACAGAGAATTACGTTTTTTGACTTCACCACTTGAAATTCTGTTCTTCTTCTCCATTTGTTCGGCAAACCCTAATTTTTCAACACAGTTTCTATCTAATGTTTATTCAAGAAAAAAAGAGAAACGGTATGAATATAAACAAAGTTATAACAGTAAATAAATTAAAGAAGTATCTGTTAAAAATTAAAATCCCGTCACATTTCTGCTACTATCTCGGCAGAAAATGGACAAAAACGCGAAAAATCACACCAAGCACACAAGCAAAATGAAAGTTTAGCACACTTTTAACAGAGTTAATCGAATGACCACCGGCTGTCTTCGTAAAACACAGTGGCATTGAGCCAGGACCGTTGGATTTTTTCCAGAAGAAGGCTTTTCTGCTTGCAAAAACTTTAACACCAAATTGGAGATGAATCCGCCTAAAGGTACCAAGTAAAAACTGTTCGGGAGCATGCAACCAATAGCTTCCATTTGTCATTTTTTACTTATGGCTGCAGGCTTGCATCCGGCAACTGTAATTATCAAGTCAAGCAAAAACCATTTCTCAGCGCGGTTTGCCACACTACAGCGGTATCGTCCGTAAAAAACAAATTTCCGGTCTATTGCTTAAGACCTCGTTCAAGGAATGCCCGCCTGTTGGAAAAATTCCAAGTTTTTGGGCGTGAAGCTTGTCACGGAGATGACTTTGGAGCGAATTTCAAGTATTCATATGCCTATTTTGGAGGAGTCGGTAATTTTTAGAATGTTCTAAAAGCGAACAGTCAAACTAGTATAGTCCGGCCAGAGGTAACTTGAAGATTTGTTTTCAGTTATAAGTTACTTCGGCTATTCCGTTTTTTATGTAGAAGCCTGCTGCAGAAAGTTTGTCGTTCCTGACGTAAATTATTCTGAAACCAACCTATACTCTTTAAAAAGCTTCAACGATAAGCTACATAAACATGTAGGTTAAATAAGGAGTCGTGAGTCGATCTCCTGAGTTACGTTTTGTCTTTTTTTATTTCCCTTCATGTTTTTTGCATTTCCGGAAAGTTTCTGCCCACTCAGGACGTTAGTCCGGAATTAGTTTGTGCTCATTAGAAAAGTCTAAGAACAAACCTCAACTTTTTCAGTTTGATTATATGTCAAGGTTAAGTTTTTGAAATAAATTTTCTTTTCTTTACGCTGGCTTCTGCTGCTTTAATAGCGTGTGGAAAGGTCTGGTATTATTTACAGTACGCGCCACAGTATCGCAGACTCCTTCTCTACAGGTTTCTAAAAAAAAAGTAACCAACCAACCAGAAGAAAAAAGACACTTCACTTGAAATATCGGACCTTGACTCGCAACAAAACTAAAACATCGATTAGTTCGTTCTCATAATGAGCATAGACTAGTTCCGAAACGAACGTCTTGGATGAAAATTTTCCGAAAGAGCAAAAAAAAAAAAAGAAACGTAAGTGAAAACGTCGAACAGTGACCGTTAAACAACCTAACACAGTTGAGTAGCACTTAGAGCTTTTCAGACTTTTCTAATAAGTACGGTGCAGTTCCAGTATGAATTTTTCTGATAGACAGCAAGTTCCTTAAAAGTTCAAAACACAAAGCAACGGAAGAAAAAGACGCGTATCTTGAAAAACAGTTCACGGCCCCTAAACCAAATTGGACAAATTTTCAGTAGCTCGTTTTTGAAGCTTTTTGATTGTTTCAGGCTAGTTGCGGAATGGCTTCCCATGACGAATTAAAATACCTTTGAGTCTGCAACAGGTTTATACAGAAGACACGGACCAACTTAGAAGAACGATACATAGCTCGAAAGATCAACCGATTACCCGTAGTCAGGCTAGCTGGCTTCAATTGCTTGCCCTCAGAGCATCCTGAAAACTGTATGGTTTTGCTAGAATGAGCAAAATGAACGAAAACCGATCCGGGATCAAATCCTTATCAAGCTTCGCTTTCTAAATTGGAATTATTCCAACTGACGGACACTCCATTTTGACCGAGTCTTTAGTGAAAGGCTAGAAATAAGAAGGCTTACATTAAGCAATTTAAATTTATTAATGAGACAATCCGTTAATCTAAAGATGTCTGAAAAACAATATTTTCAGCGGATAATTTCCGAATCTAAAGTTAAAGAAGTAACTAAATCTTTACTGATTTTCCTGTGTATATTACGTTTCAAAATTGCTGGGAATCCTTCGAAATTAGCAAACCCTCGAAGCTAATCTCAACTGGGCATTCAACCGCTTTCTAGCAAAAGTTCCAGCACATCGCAGTCTGCAGCCATTATTCTGTGAACAAATATCATAAGGCCGATCATGGTTGGAATATAGTCGACAATGAGAACTTGTACCTCCGAATTTTTTTGAGGCATCCTCTAAGTAGAAATGCGAAGGTGGTAAAGCGAAAAAATTCCAGATTTTATTCTTCGCTCATGTGTTGTTTGCAGCTTCTCATGGTAAACTTATTTACTGTAAGCTACCTTACAGACCAAGAAAGCTAGTTTTTTATTCGTTATTTATTTGATATCAAGCGCTTCCGGCTTGGTTTTTGATTTCATTTTCCTTGTATAGCCCTTTAATGATGCGATTTTTACCAAGCAACTCAAAAAAAGCGCTTTATCAATGATATTACAGTAATTTAAAGCCACGTTGAGTCTTTGAGATAGCAGCAGTAAATGTATACTAAAAAGCATAAAAAATTATACCTTACCAAAAATTTTTTTGATTTTTTTTTTTCAAGATAACAATTGAAGAAGAAGCCAAGTAAGTCCTCAACTCTCTTTAGACTCCTTGCAAATAACTGCTAAATTTGTACACATTTTTCCACTCTCACAAACCACATTTATGTTAACGGTGCAGAAATTCAAACAAGTTTTTTTTCCGACATTTACATTTTTGATTTTTACAGTGATAGGCATATCTTCTATTTTTCGAATAAACTCAAGATATTGTTTCAAAAAGTTGTTGGATTGAAAGTCAATCATCGACTAAATTATTAGCATTTTCAGCGTGCTAACCAAATCAAGAGCAATCATAATATATATTCTGCGTAATTATATTGCTGCGTTTAAGAGTAATTCCGTATTTGGGAAAAGACGTATAACAAATTGAAATTTTGGAACGATAGCAGTTGTTGGGACCAAATATGATCGATCACAGATATACGAAAATGATACGTTTGTAAAAGAAAAAAGTGACAGCAAAAGGAGAAGATATTTTTGTGAGAACTGCTTCAACAGGCTTTGGCCTCAGCAAATTTTTCTGGTCCAGATGTCCTCAGGAAGCACAACGTCTAAAAAGAAGTTTTTATTCACCTGCATTGCCGGTATTGCGAGCCTTTGCGATCAAAGTTCCCTTCGTTTCTTGCCTCTAAATCACGTCAGTGAGGAGCACTTTAAAGAGTTTCTGACGACATTCCGACGAATACAGGGGATGCTGCGTATTGGAATCATTTTTAGGAAAGCTGATTTCAGTTTTGAACTGTTTACTAAAGGGAGATTCATCAGTCAACTGCTCTTTTTTCTTTTAACTGATTAATTACTGTGTTTTCTCGAAGCTACTAATAGCAGGCAAAAACTATATTATCGGTTGGTAAGCTGTACGACAAGTTTTTGACACGTTTAGTTCGCAGTAGATTTGATGTCTTCAAACTGGAGGAATCATGACGTTTGTAGTTTCGCTTTTGGTGAAGGCTACAATGAAGTAAGGAAAGAAAAACGAAAAAAATAATAAACTCTTCACTGCAAAACTACACGCTGCGCAGATGAAGTTTATTTTTGTGTTTTATCAGCCTTAGTTACTCATTTAAAAGGCAAGCATTTATTTTTGACATGCTAGTTTCGCTAGAGCGGACAGACAAGTCTTAAGCCATTACTTAGTAGTATTCTGAACTAACAGCAACCCGCTAGAACTATCTTTATTGCTTGAACAGTAGTGATAACACAAGTATTACTGTTGAAATACAAACCTGAGAATCAAACAATTAAGCAATCTTCAACAGCGCTTCGCTCTCATCATCAAAACTGAAAGCATTTTACCTACTTATGCAATAAATCAGTCTCAATCCTACATTACATCTCTCAGCCTCAAGAAACAACTATTACTAAACGAAAAGAATTGCAACACAGCAGACGCAATTTTGTGACCAATCTGCCGTTCCATTATCACTTCACAGACCTCAAAGAAAGTGACTGTAAAGAAAAGATTAGGGATTGGTTCTTCTTTTCTTCAGTATACCCACAGATTTATT